GGCCTCCCTCCTCCTCTTCCAACCGCACCCACAACGCGCAGACCAAAGCACGTCGTGGGAGTCGGTGTGCTGGCAGCGCAACTACGTGGCCCAAGCCATCGGAGCCTGGTGCGTGAGTATAATCGTGCTGAGCGGTTCACTCGCTCTTCCTGTACCAAATAACGCGACGCCGAAACACGCTCATTGCCTGTGCGGTGTTCCCACCAGACATGAGCCTAAGCTGCGAGGCAGCGATGATCGAATGTGACGAGCCTCTTCATGTCTGTCGACCTGATGGGCCAGGTTTCACAGCCATATAGGAGAGTTGAACGGACGGCTGCGTTGTAAACTCTGCCCTTCAGGGCGAGAGTAATGTCGCGTCTGCGCCACAGGTGGCGGAGATTGGCAAAAGCACCTCGAGCTTTTGCTATACGGTTCGTAACCTCATCTTCAATCCCACGGGTGCTAATATAGCTGCCCAGGTACTTGAATTCCTGAACGACTTCTAGCAGATCACCACCAAGCGTTAGCGCAGGGTTGGGTCCCTGCCAATCTTGGAGAAGTACTTTGCATTTCGATGGAGCAAAGCATAGCCCAAAACGATTGACAGCCAGTGCTAATCGGTTCAGTGCTGTTTGGCATGTTTGGGAGCTGTCACAGATTAGGGCAATATCGTCTGCATACTCCAAGTCAAGAAGTCGCTCACCAGGGAGTAGCTCCACACCTTCTAGGTCGTGTCCAGCGAACGCTGTTTCCATGACTTCATCAATAGCGAAGTTGAAGAGGAAAGGTGACAGCGGGCATCCTTGTCTCACACCGCTGGTGATACTGAAGGGTGGCGAGAGTTTGCCATAAACCCTCACCCTGCCCGAACTATGTGCGTACAGCGCTTTGATAATATTTACATATTTATCAGGCACACCTTTCCTCAACAGACAGTCCCAAAGGGCACATCGATCGACTGAGTCGAAGGCACCTTTTATGTCAAGAAACACGACAACGGTGGGTCGCCAATAAACATGGCGGTGCTCCAACACTTGACGCAATGTGAAGATGTGGTCGATGCAGCCCCGACCTCGACGAAATCCGGCTTGCTCTTCACGAATCTGGCTTTCACGAGTGCCAGTCAGTCTGTGGAGAATGAGAGAGGCAAGCAATTTAGAGGCAATCGAAATCAGACTGATCCCTCTATGATTGCCACATTCTAAACGGGAGCCTCCCTTGAAAATTGGGACAATGACGGAGCGGTTCCAGTCTGTCGGGACTGTCTCCTGCTCCCTATTTTTACTAGCAACTCCTGTAGATCATCTACTAGAGCCGGTACACCGAACTTGAAGAGGGCTGGAGGAATAGTATCTTCTCCTGCGGCCTTATGCAATTTCAACAGCCTGATCTCACTTTCGACTTCTGCGCGTGAGGGCGGATCCAAGGAGACGGCCCTAGGAGAAGGGCGCACAATGCCCGAAGAAAGCGATAACTCAGGTTGGTTAAATTGCATAGCAAAGTGTTCAGCCCAACGCTCCAAGCGTTTTGACAGAGCTGTGGATCATCTGCCCACTCTCGTCGCGTATGGTCTCGCTAACACCAGGTCTCCTGCTGCCTGTTTCCCGTATCAGACGGTATAACTTATGATGATTACTAATGGCAGCGGCTGTTTCCATCTACGAGGCACGATGAGACCACCAGATTCGCAGGTCCTTCTTTAGGCTAGCACGTAGTTTCGACCCTGAGATTTTTGCGAGCTTCATTGTATTCGCTTCCAGCCGGAATACGTCGGCGAGCATCCATAAGTTCCCAGAGACTGTGTAGAGACCCAATGTTCGGTTTAGCAATTTGTTTTGCAACATGAAGACAATGCCTGCTAATAGCAAACGCTTGACGAGTATGCGACCAGTGATCTTCAACGGTGTTTAGTGGGCGCTTACTCAGCCCAGATGTCAGCGGATTCTTGGTACACATTCAGAACATCTGGCTTCGCCAGCTGGCTAGTGTCAATCCGTTCACATCGACGTCGCGGAAGTCCACCGAAACGCACCAGGAGGTCCGGCACATACAAGTGCGTGGTCAGAGTCCACGCTCGTGATCCAAATCGAGCGACAGTTTTGGACACAGCCTCTCCAGCGTGAACTGATCGCGATGATGATCGATTTGCGTCCATGACTGGCCCGAGGCTGGTGGCCGCCAAGTCAACACTTCCTGCGGGTGCTGTGTCGAAAAGTTAGTGCTCGCGAGAAAGAGGCGAGCATCTTTCACACAGCTGGAGCAATCGCTCACCCATTATCATTACGGGAGCCTACACCATGTTGGCCGCCCAGATGAAGCTCATCCGAGGACAATTTCCCGACTTGGGCGTTTAGATCGCCAGCCAACACAACAGTATCTGTGCTTCTTCTGTTAACGAAGGAGCTCGTGAAGTGCTGATAGAAAATCATCTTTTACCGAATCAGTGCTACAGTTTGTAGGGGCGTAGGCCGCAATGACAAACAGGCACCGTTTGTCCCCGCGCGACTTCGAAGCACAGAAGGAAACCAGCTGATCTAACGGCGCACATCATACTGTTTACTGGGATCCAATCAATCAGGGCAGCTTCAGCCCGGGGACTCAAAACAATGCCGACGCCAGCTTGACCGGCATTTGAAGCTGCATCACCGCCAGACAGGCGCAATGAGAATGTGCCGCCAGTGTCGCATGTGGGGATCTCAGGGTAAGCACGGAGCTCGAACCTTGCAGGCGGGTTTCTGATAAACAGCAAATATCGATCGATAGGGTCTCTAAGTGTGCGGGCAAGTGCTGCCTGTTGGCCAATCTGCAGCAAAGTGCGCACGTTGAGGATGCCAATCTTAGCGATGACACGAGGACTCCAAGGGAAACGGATGAACTGACGTTGTCCCGCTTGGTTGAACATGGCCTTGTCGACTTGGATTGGAGCGAGGCCCTGCGATTGTGTGTGATTTGAAATTAAGAAGACAAGCGGACTATTGAAGTAAGCTGGGGGAGGGCCAAGATTGGGGATTGAAAATGGGGGATATAAGTAAAGTTGGAGCGGAAATAAGATGCGAAGC